CGTATATGTACATGTATGTATGAGTATGCGGAGTATGTGTGAGTATAAATATGTATATGCCATTACAATGATGTATAACTTTTCTAGCAACTTAAAAGAAAAAATCATTTCTACAACTCCATGAACTTGTCATGAGAGTGTTTAGTTTAGATAGATTTAAGGCCGGATAGCCTAGTCAACAATTCCAGCTTCATGGTATTGTTTCCAGGTGGCACTGAGCATTTATTGAGATTGGAAGTCTAAACTATTCTTATTTCTGATTAACGACAGGTTGGATGACACTTCCCTTACTGTAATTTTGGTTTCGCTAAGGCAAAAAATTTTTTGGCTATGTTCAATAGAAGTTAAAGGTGAAATGGACAAAGGGAAAAGACATATTAACACCAAATTCGAGCGAATGGGTACCATACTGAGAGATCCGGATGGAATGGGATCGAATTTTCTGATGGGGAGAGGGGTGTTAAGAGCATGCAAAAGTTGTAGGGATATACATGTGCACATAACATGCTCATAGTGCTCATTTATATCACTACTGGGTAGCAAAACTGTTTTGCAAAGATGCTCACATTTCAATGTTCATATACCCTAGAAACGATAGACATAAAATTGCCGATACGTTAGCATCATAAGCCTCCAACCTTTCCGTATTCTATCAGTCCCAGGTCATCTGGATCCCCACACGATGGGAGGCTCTCTAGTTTCACAACCGCCTTCATCTTCACAGGCCCGCTTGGGTCAGCGATCCGGCGCTCCAGGCCTTGGAAATGGCAGCTTCCTGATGCACCCATCGTCCTCCCAGTCAATGCCAATCTACGCCAACGCGGGCGAATTTGATCCCGCTGGTACCGGGCTCGGCCCGGGCGGCCTGGGATCAGCCTCCAAGGGGATTGCACAAATGACACCGCGGCATCAGTACCGGCCGGATCAGTTCCAGCCGCAAACCTATCAGCAGCCAGGCTCGCAGGGTCAGTTAATAGGGCAGCAGCAGCAACACCAGCACCAGCACCAGCAATACCAGCCACATTCTCACTCACACACACACCAACATCAGGCCGCAAGGCAGCATCACTCCCGAACGTCGAGTGGAAGGACTGCAGGTAATTATGTTCAGGCAGGACAAATAGCTTACTACCTTTTCTTCTAGAAATGTCACTATTTATTCAGTACTTTTGCTCTCTGCATCTTTCGGCTCAGACATGAATCGAGGCTTGGCCTAGCGGATATCTCGAACTCATGTCAATTGGCTGACTCTTTTAGCAGACTGCTCCTCCAGGCCACAGTGTTCTTGTTATTTTCTTTTTGGTGCCCACCTCCATCTGCC